GCAGGTTTCTCGCTGACAGCTGAATGTAAACAAAAAAAGTATTGGCAATTAAAAAATGAGAAAAAAAACTGTGTGGGGATTCATCCCAATCCATATCAATTCCTTTTCCTCTAGTATGGATTTTAAGGGGAACCCCATGCCAAAATAAAAAAAAATGGTGGGGGTCCCCCCAAAATTCATACCAGACCCTTTTCTGAGCATGCAGCCTGGCAGGCCAGGAAAGGGGGGGGGGGGGTGAGCACCTCCTCCTCTCCTGAACAATGCCAGACAACATGCCCCCAACATAGGGGGATGTGCCTTGGGGATACGCCCTAAAGCATCTTGTCCCCATGTTGATGAGGACAAGGGCCTCTTCCCCATAACCCTGGCCCAATGGTTGTGGGGGGTGCGGGGGGGTGACATATTGGAACAAGGGGTCCCCCAGATCCGGCCCCCCCTTGTGAATGGGTATGGGGTACATACCCCTATTCACGCACCAAAAAAGCATAAAAAAGTGAGTAAAAACACAACAACAGTTTTTATTTATTTATTAAAAAACAAAATACATAAATTAGATGTCCCCCGGAGTAGATACAATGTAAATCAATCCCCCCCCCCCCTTTCCTGGCCTGCCGGACCGCATACTCGGATAAGAGACTGATTTTGGGCAGGACCCCATGCCATTTTTTTTCTTAATTTTGGCATGGGGTTCCCCTTAAAATCCATAGCAGATCTAAAGGGCCTGGAGGGGATCCCCACACAGTTTTTTTTTTCAGATTCTTTAATTGCTGGCAATTTTTTTTTTAACATTCAGCTGTCAGCGGGGAACCCTGCTGACAGCTGATGAGTCATTAGTTGTTAAGGATGTGGCGGCCGTATTGCAGGCCTGCTCCTTAGCAACCAGCTATTCCTCAGTAACATAACAAATATAAACCCAAAAAAAAGGAAATTAGTAACTAAAAATATACTAAACACATTTTTTGCACTCTGCACATGTCTACACTCAAGTTCTTCTACACCAAACTAGTCAAATCATGTCTTTATGGACTTAGCATTGTGCACCTTCACTCATAAATTTGGCGAGGTATCCACTAAGTTTTACTTTTATAGGGGTTGATTTACTAAAGCTGGAGCGTGAAAATCTGGTTTTATTAAATCAACCCCATAGTGAATATTACCCCACCCATTATTTTAAAATTGGCAGGTGCATTCATAATACTCAGTGGGTTTTCACTTGACCTTTAGTTTTGACTTTCCAATGGCCTCCTTGTGAAAAATGAAGCCTTTGTGATATCAGAGACTAAGGGCATTGGCTGATAGGTCACTTTTGTGAGTCCAAGGGTGAATTCACATATACTACATGTAACGTATGTAGACACCTCTCCATATTACTGAGTTCAGTTGTGCAAACACAAGACATGGTATAACAAGTTTGGCACATGGGAATTTGAGTGCCCTGACCCCAACCCTAATGATCACCTTTGGGATTAATAGGAGTGCTGACAGTAAAGGGTACCCTTAATGCTACAACATACAAAGACATTTACAGTATACAGCTTTGCACTTTCAACCTTTTGGGTAAGGGTTTTTTTTTGTTCTACCATGATAATGCCACCGTGCACAAAATCAGCTCCAGAAAAACATGGTTTGGCTGGTTTGGTGTAGAGGAACTCAAGTGGCCTGGGAAGAGTCCTGACCTCCACCCTACTGAACACCATTGAGATAAACTGGAGCCAGATCTTCTCCTCCCACCTTAGTATCTGACCTCACAAATGTTCTTCTAGCTTACTGCACACAATTTTCAATGGAAACACTATAAAATCTTGTGGAAAGTACTCTTAGAAGAGTGAAGGCTGTTGGGGAAGGAAGGAGGGAGGGCGACTCCATATTAATGGAAATTAATTTGGAAGGGGATGTCCAACAAGCGCTTATAAACGTGATGGTCACATTTGCAGAAACGTTCGGCCAAATCATGTATTTGCTCATTTGCAGGGTACACCATACAAATATGGACTAAAATTAATAACAAAACATTTAATTAAGGTAAAAGAATTCTGATCATTTACAATAGCAACAGAAGAGCTAATTTTCGGCACAGTGCCACGACTGGTCCTTGATCGTAGGTCTGGGTCTGAACTGGATGCTTTGTGGTATGAATTGGAATTCACTGTTAAGATGTACTTGGTGAATTTAATATTCTGTGATCATTATTTACAAACCCCAGGCCTGACGACAATATCCAGGTTCTGGCCTCCATCGTCAGTTCTCGCTGCCAGGACCCGATCGGCCATCTGGGGCTTTCCTATGTTCCTGCAAGAGCTGTTGGGAAACAAATGGCCCTTGTTTTTGCCAAGATTTATTATGAAAAATTGCTCGAGGGAAAAGTAGACCAAACGCAAATAGAAGTTTGAAGCTGTTTAATCCTCTAGGTCACCCACAGTCAGTTGTCAAAGCATTAAAGAAAAACTCTGGACAGATAATACAAATAAACACCCTTTAGTTTTTTTGTGTATGAATTCAGATGCCATGAAACAATATATATTTTTTTTTCATTTTAGCTAAGGTGATTACCTTAAAGTGGACCTTGTTTGTCTGTGTTGTAGTTAGTCTAGTGATTTTTAGCCTAGTTGCAGAGAGATTGACATTTTTATTGTGTTTGGTGTCGTCTACATAATTGGTATCTTCATTAGATACTTGTGTTATCCAATGCAGCTGCTTACTCATGCACATGCTCACTTGTTCAGTATGCTCATATGGGTCTGGATTGGGGTGTAACTACAAAACATGGGACCCCATAGCAACATTTTCATGGCCCTTGATCCCTCTTCCCAGAGCTGTGTGTAGGGCATTGTGTAAGCAACTATAGGAAAAAGTGGGTGCCTGACAGGTGGAGAGAGTGGTTTTTGGAAACTGAGAAAGGCTTGGAGAAAAAAAAAAGAGGAAGAAAGTATTGGGCCTTTAAAGAGAGGTCATGCCTGGTTGTCATCCTAGAAATGCTGCCATCATTCAGCATTCCCAGATTGGGTAGATATATAAGGGTGGGTGGTAGCAGTTTTGTTGGTTGTGGTGTAGCAAATAATTTGGAGGAGGAATTCTTCTTGGGGAATGAGATTAGGTGACTAAAATGTGAGTTTCCAGGGACTTTGTCTCACCTTTGTGGCAGAATGGACTGGTTCTCTTATGAATGGAGCAGAAGACCTTGTAGTTGACCTTGCAGAACTTGTAGTTTGGACCTAGATCGTTATTGTCTAGGAAATGTTTTATTTAGTAAAGATTTTCTACTTAAGTAACAGTAACTTGGTGCAACTTCTTCTTACTAAAGGGGTGGGGGAGCGAAGATGCATTAAGAACTTTGTTTGTTGCCTAATTGTGGCAACCTGTCTGGAGAAGAAGGGGCTGGACAGAGACCTGAGAGGTTAACCTCTGGTATCCCCTGCTGTTGGCCAAGTTGATTGGGGAGCATAGAAACCTCAGAGTGTCTCTGGAAACTGTGGCTGAGAAATAGAATGTCAACCTTGTTGACTGGTCATGGACTTCCATGGTTGAGGATTAAGGCTCCAATGCCTAAATTGGCTGTTGAGCCTAACGTCTCGTGGTAAGGTTCTGACTCATGGTATGGGAAGACATGGGAACACTTGGCCAGTTAATTTGGAAAGATGTGAGAAAGGTACCCTCACTCCATACTCAGTCCATGAAAAAGCTTCAGCACACTGAAAAGCATTTCTTTCTGCTTCACCTAGACACCATGAGCCTCAGCCCAAAACGTTGCTATACCACCACCCAGTATGATTGTTCTAGTTCATGGGGTTTACAGAAAAATGAAGGATCAAGTAGGATCAAGACAGGCAGATCAAGTAGGATCAAGATAGACTTATGTACTTATGATAGCTGTATACAAATATATACTTATTTTTAATGGATACAATATATATATATATATTTTTTATATATATATATATATATATATATATATATAGTATTTTTGGTAAACTGCAATATATTGCATTTTTTGGTTTTAGGTATAAAGTGGTTGTAAAGGCTCAAGGTTTTTTACCTTCATTCATTTTATGTATGAAGTTAAAAACCTTCTATGTACAGTAGCACCTCCAATACTTACCAGAGCCCCATCACAATCCAGTGATGTGCAAGAAACCCTCGGCTCCGGGAACTCTCCCTTCTCATTGGTAGAGATAGCTGTGGGAGCCATTGGTGCCTGCTGCTGTCAATCACAGCAAAAGAGCCAATAAGGAGGGAGAGGGGGTGGGGCCGAACTGTGGCTCTGTGTTTGAATAGACATGCAGAGCAGTGGCTTGGGAGCGAGCCTGCTTGGGTGCTCCCATAGCAAGCTGTTTGCTCTGGGGGCACTCAACAGGAAGGAGGGGCCGGGGACCCAAGAAGAGAAAGATCAGGGCTGCTCGTACAAAACCACTACAAAGAGCAGGTAAGTATAATATGTCTATTATTTGCAAAAAAAAAAAAATATGTAACCTCCCTAGAGGTCTGATTATGTCAGTATTTCTATGCTCAAAGTGGTACATTTTTTTTGCATGGAAATATGTATTTTTTTTATTGTAGGCTTGTCATTTTTAGGAATAACTCACTGAAATCTGTCTGAACAAGAGTCTAGTAAACATCCCGGGGATGATAAAATTTGAAACATGAAATCATAATTTATAATTTAATAAATAATCATAAAAAATAATAATATAATAATAATAAATTTAATTCAATAATATAATCAAACCAAAAACACTGAAATGTGAAATAGAGCGCCAAGTTTGCACATCACTGAGCAAAGTCGCAGAATCGTTTTCAGTGTCTGATGAGGAATTTCCCCCACAAATCATTATCACTCAATTCTGCAAGTGGTTTCTGATTTACTATCGCTGTTCTCTAGCCGGTCTAAAACCGCTTTTGACCTAAAGGGACGCTTTTTTGGACGCCATGGACGTTTCTCAGTTTCCAGGCAGAAAAAACAGTAAAAATGCAGGCAGGGCGCCGGACAAAGCACTCGGGACAAAATGTATGTGAAATGGTTTGATACAGGAATGTAATACTATGTGATTTTAGTGAATTTAGTGAATGTCACTTCTTGTCATTTTCAAATTTCCTGCCGTTCCGTCCCCCGTACGTCCCGACGCCGCAGGGAACGGAACCCGGAAGACAGATGCCGGCATCCGCCGGATTATATTGCTGGGGACACTGCAGGAGGGACATCGCGGGAGCGCAGGACAAGGTAAGTGATTGCGGAGCAGCGCCGCATGGTAAGCCTGAGTGTAGCTCAGGGTTACCGCTTGTGGTGCTGAAACTTTACCCCGAGCTACACTCGGGAATACTGCCAGGGAGGCTACTTGGAAGCCATATTTCTATTCTAAAGCATAGGTCTGCTTTAACACTCCCTTATAAATGGCCTCATATGGCTCCTTCTCTAACAGTCTTTGGTGATATGTATCTCCCACTAAAATGTCAAGTTATTGTACCACCCAGCAGTTTCTTGCTATGTGGCAGCTCTCTCCGGATGCCAACATTAAAAGTAGATTTGGATAGGGTTGAGATATAGTGAATGTCACTTTTTGTCATTTTCAAATTTCCCGCCATTCCATCCCCCGTACGTCCTGACGCTCACAGGGGACGGAACCCAGATGACAGATGCCAGCATCCGCCGGAGGACATTACAGGGGACACTGCAGGAGGGACAAGGTAAGTGATCGAGGGACCCCGGAGCAGCGTCGCATGGTAAGCCCGAGTGTAGCTTGAGGTTACCGCTTCTGGTACTGAAACTTTACCCCGAGCTACACTTGGGATTACCGCCAGGGAGGTTAATATCACTTTAATACCAAGTGATGACGAGGCTATTGCCGAAAGCACAGAATCCATTGCAGAAATGTAAAAACTGTTCTGCTCCATAGGGGGTGTGCAGGGTTGAGATTAGAAGTTGTTATGGTGCATGTCCAGTTATTTTTTTTTTATTTATTTAGATAGGATGGAAGGTTTAGAACCCCTGCCAGGTTTTACTCCTGTCCAGAATTCTATTAGAAAGATTTCCCCTGACATCCTTTTTCGCTAATACCGTGTTTCCCCGAAAATAAGACAGTGTCTTTTTATATTAATTTTTGCTCCCAAAGATGCGCTAGGTCTTCTTTTCAGGGGATGTCTTATTTTTCCATGAAGAAGAATACGGTACACATTTATTGTTAAATGAAAATAAAGGAAATTTATTACCTGTCTACGGTACGGTAGTACGGTAGTTGTCAACACAAACCAGACAAACTGTGAATCCTACAGTATCAAGAATTAACTCATTTATTCAATGACAATCATGTCATCATCTTCTGGAACATCATCATAACAATCATCATAACAGGCAGTGTCACCAGAGACAGACCAGCACTCACCACCTTCGCCGCGTCCCGTCCGCTCTGATCCTCCTGTTCTTCTACACGCATCTGCGAAAGTCTCCTCCTCTCTCCCGCCCCGCGTTCACCGCTCACTCCCGACCTCCGCTCCGCCTCCACACAGCAGTGACGTCAGGACTCCGCGTAACGTCACTGGTTGCTAGACGCCAGTCGGGGAGGCCCTAGCAACCAGTTTACGGTAAATTCATTTTCATTCCGAGACAGACCCTAGGGGGGCCTTATTTTTGGGGGGATGCCTTATATTTCACCCAGAAGGAAACCTGTAAGTAGGTCTTATTTGCGGAGGATGTTTTATTTTCGGGGAAACACGGTAGTGGTTTCACCAGACAGGAAGCGAAGAGAAATCTGCAACAGGGACCCCGACAGAAATACAATCTGCCAGGGATTTTTGCCTTTCTCTACTAAAGAAAAGCATTTTTATTTCTGATCATGTTGCTCACTATTCCTTCTTCGTTCTTAACAGAGTTGGTTTTGATCTGAACCCGAAACTCGCACATAAATATCCGTCACCGCCATACAAACTGCTTTTTTTAATCAAACAAAATATCAGAGGCAGAGAAAATATTTCCGTTTTTGTAACATTGCCAGATTTTTTTTTTTTTTCTTATACTGTCACATTTCGGAGTCTGTGTTTTGTGCAGTTAAGTGGCACACTGTTTTTCCGAATATAGTTTTTATTTAGTTTTGCAGATTTCTGGAAGTGCACCTATTGGGGCTCCTATATATTTAGCTCTTTGTGTTCTCTTGCAATATGCTCATCTTCTCGCAGTTCCAGCTGACTTCACATTCAACATTCTACATCTGTTTCTTGATAGCTGAGAAAGCTGCCAATTTATCCTTAGCTATTGTTAAATGGAGATCACAGGTAAACATGCACCGCCTGCCCCTTAGCTGAACACTCCTTAAATAAAAACATGAGACCCGGTGCCAAATCTGCTCATTTGAAACTTATTTAGAAATTACATTTCCAAGAGAATTTTTTTGTGCGCTCTTCATTTTCATTATGGCAATTATTTCAATAACTATTAAAGCATTCCTCGCTAGCCTGCATTTAGTAAAATGGACACTCGTGAGCTCGGATCACGGTAATATGGGGCCGAAAGAGGAAATGAAGGAATAGTTATGATGTCATAGAGATGTCACTGGTCTCCAGTGAATGGATAGGCTACCTTCTTGGTGATGTCACCGGTCTCCAGTGAATGGATAGGCTACCTTCTTGGTGATGTCACCGGTCTCCAGTGAATGGATAGGCTACCTTCTTGGTGATGTGTCCGGTCTCTAGTGAATGGATAGGCTACCTTCTTGGTGATGTCACCGGTCTCCAGTGAATGGATAGGCTACCTTCTTGGTGATGTCACCGGTCTCCAGTGAATGGATAGGCTGCATTCTCAGGGATGTCACCGTTCTCTAGTGAATGGATAGGCTGCATTCCCAGTGATGTCACCGCTCTCTAGTGAATGGATAGGCTGCATTCTCAGTGATGTCACTGGTCTCTAGTGAATGGATAGGCTGCATTCTCAGTGATGTCACTGGTCTCTAGTGAATGGATAGGCTGCATTCTCAGTGATGTCACTGGTGTCTAGTGAATGGATAGGCTGCATTCTCAGTGATGTCACCGCTCTCTAGTGAATTGATAGGCTGCATTCTTAGTGATGTCACTGCTCTCTAGGGAAAGAATATGTCACACTCACAGTCAGTACCAGGACAGGTTTGTCCAGCACATGTTGTGTCCATTCTTTGCTCCCTTGCTTCAGTTGTTGATGTTTGACATGAACTGTGCACTGCTCATACACGGCCAATCACTTGCTTCCCTGTGGCTAGAAGGTAGTTGCATATGCATATTTTTGTGTCAGCAGTGGGCAGATAGGGTGGAGGGAGGGTATATTGGAGCAAAGCATGACAAGCAGTAGCTGTCAGAGCAGACATGAAGCTGCACCCCGCTGGTTGCCACACATCTAGAACTTTCATGGGTGAGGGGGTACCTTCCCCTACCTCTGTGCCCTGGGTGACTGACCCTCCTGCCCACCCTTTGTCCCAGCCCAGCTCACAGTGATGTACAAGTCACTGCAGCTCCCAGAGAATAATTATGCAGTTGTCACCATTATTACTCCTAAGCCATTACTCTTTTTTTTTTTTAGGATGTCACACAGTGAGGCTGAAAGCGCTCCTGGAGAAGACGTTACATGGCTCAGTGTTTTAAATAATGTCAGAATAAAATAAATCCAGTAAAATCTATTTCAAGCTTCAGATCACAATGTTCTCATTTATTTGAAGACTAATTAATAATACATATGCTAAGCCTGTAGTTTAAGAAGAAGAAAACATCAATCAGCGGAAATTACCCTGTTAAAGGCAGCGCTGCGTGTGGGGTAGGTGGTGCTGCTGATTCGTTAGGCTTGTAGGATAATTCCAGCTTCTACAATGAGGACCTCGTGTAAAATAATTACATTCTCATTCAGTAATCTACATATTACACTGTAAAATAATTGGAATGTGTAAAACATTAACATAAAGAGCTTCTCCTTTACCTCCCATGTTACATATTCAATTTGACATTCAGAGGTTGCCAAAAGGTGGCCAGGCCACTTCCAGTAGGGACCTGGGTCTGCTGCCCATAAGATGCTTGTAGCGCTGCCCCCTTAAGAGCCGCTGAGTATTTTTGGGTTCCCTGTCTGTTCTGAGCCTGATTTGGAAACACAACCCCTGCTGACACACCAAATGTCAGGGACCAACACGACCCATGGGTCTGCACATGCTTAGGTGTCTGTCAAGACATGCAGGCAGCAGGGCACTAGGACCCAGGCGCACCCGTCGCCTATGACGGCGCTGGGCAGGCACTAGGACCTAGGCTGCGCCTGTCAGGCGCAGGGCGGGCTACTTAAACCAGCCCTGCACAGACACAAGTTGCCGTATGGTCTGATCTTGTTCCTGTGATCTGTGAGTTGATTCCTGACTGTTGCTGACCTTTGCTTGAACCTGACCTTGCTGATATTCTCCTGCCCTGACCCTCTGGCTCGTTTGACTACTCTTCTGAATATCCCTTCTGATCTGAACTTCTGTTACCAGACCCGACGAGTGACCTGATTTCTCTGTGCCTGCTGTCTTGTCCCACGCTGTCCGCCCGTTACCGACCTGGCCCGTCTGACCACGCTATTGCTCAGCCATCCATCTGACCCGCACAATAGTTGCTATTCTCCAGACCTGTCTGCCTCTTCACACCAGGCTCTCCACCTGTCATTACCTCTGGTGATTCCTCTACCTCAGGTGGGTGTACTCAGGGGCCGTGACCTGGTCACTGTCCGCTGCAAGCCCATCCCCACCATCAGGGGCTCTGGTGAAAAGCGGAGTGGGGCTTAGACTCCGCGCCCTGGGGAATCCTGTCCTGTGGACTGCTAGAGTACACCAGGTGGTCCATAACACCATAAAACCTTGACTAGGAGAATCCCCTGGCCTTGGAACACAATGTATTCACATAGTTTAAGGTGAACCAAAATTTTGATTAAATTGAGAACAGAGAAAAAGAAATGCTGCAAGCACAAAAGAGATAACAGTAAGTGTATACAGCTGCTGGACACGGAGATATCTTTCCCAAAAATGAGCTGCAGTAGAGTATCAAGAATTTGGGCTAATTCACTATTGGATTCTCAGTTGTCTGGGAATAGGGTTTAACTAGGAGATGAATATACAGATGTAAATGTCTCAATTAATACCATCGCAAAATAAGGAAAATAAATCAACTCAACTCTGCGTACTTGTTGGAGCCCTAGTTGGTGCACATTGAGAGCCCCCATTGCAAACAGCTTCTACAATGAGGACCTCGTGTAAAATAATTACATTTTATTCAGTAATCTACATATTCCAGTGTAAAATAATTGGAATGTGTAAAACATTAAAATAAAGAGCTTCTCCTTTACCTCCCATGTTACATATTCAATTTGGCATTCAGCGATTGCCAAAAGGTGGCCAGGCCACTTCCAGGAGGGACCTGGGTCTGCTGCACATAAGATGCTTGTAGCGCTGCCCCCTTAAGAGCCGCTGAGTATTTTGCGGTTCCCTGTCTGTTCAGAGCCTGATTTGGAAACACAACCCCTGCTGACACACCATAAAACCTTGACTAGGAGAATCCCTGGCCTTGGAACACAATGTATTCACATAGTTTAAGGTGAACCAAATTTTTGATTAAATTGAGATCAGAGCAAAAGAAATGCTGCAAGCACAAAAGAGATAACAGTAAGTGTATACAGCTGCTGGACACTGAGATATTTTTCCCAAAAATGAGCTGTAGTAGAGTATCAAGAATTTGGGCTAATTCACTATTGGATTCTCAGTTGTCTGGGAATAGGGTTTAACTAGGAGATGAATATACAGATGTAAATGTCCCAATTAATACCATCGCAAAATAAGGAAAATAAATCAACTCAACTCTGCGTACTTGTTGGAGCCCTAGTTGGTGTACATTGAGAGCCCACATTGCAGGCAGCTTGTTATTGGGGCCGCTGGTCAAGGGGGAGGAGCTAGGAGCGCCGACAGGGGAACTAAAAAGAAGTGGAACAGCACTTTTCTGTGCAAAAACGTTGCACAGAGCAGGTAAGTATGACTTTTTTTTTTTTTTTTTTTAAATAATTGAAACTTTAACCATTAGCCGCCCGGCCTGTAGCCATTTGGCAGCTGCAAAAATGCATTACCTTTCCGGGTGCACGCCATTTGGCGTGCTCCCGCACATGCGCAGTTCGCGCGGTTGCAGAGCCGTGCAGCGGCGCGATCTGTCACCGGCCGTGTACCTCGGACAAGGCCAATGACAGATCTGAGTACGGGCCCCCGTTGCCGGTACCATGTGACCTGCTGTGACCAATCACAGCAGGTCACATGACAGTTATATACAATGGTTGGCTTCATTCATGCCATCCATTGTATACTAGTGCCTAGCTGTGAATGGTCACAGCAGGTCACATGCACATGTCATGTGATTAGCTGTGGCCAAATCACAGCTAAGCACAAAAAAAAACAAAAAACAAACAAAAAAAAAAACCTGAATTAATCGATTTCATTCAGGTAAATGCTTGCTTATAGCAAAGTAATTCTTTGCTATAAGCAAATTGTGTAAAAAAAAAAAAAAAAATGATCACTTCCCCAAAGTAGTACAATGTTACTATGGTAACATTGTACTACTTTAGTCATAGTAAAATATGAAAAAAAAATCTTAAAAAAAAGTAATAAAAAATTTAAAATAATAAAAAAAATAAAAAAATATATATATTTTTTTTTTTTTTCATACTGTCACCAGTCAGCATCCCTTTTCATCGCCATGCCAGTTATATGATGACGCTGTACTGCACTGGTGACAGTATGTAAAAAAAAAGTGAAAATAATTTTTTTAATTTTTTCATTTTCCGAAAAATTATGAAAACAAAAATACAACTTCAAAAAACTCGCCATGCCTCTTATGAAGTACGGCGGACTGTCTACTTTACAAAAAGGGGTCATTTGGGGGATATCTGTACTGACCTGACATTTGGGGGATATCTGTACTGTCCTGACATTTGGGGGATATCTGTACTGTTCTGACATTTGGGGGATATCTGTACTGTCCTGACATTTGGGGGATATCTGTACTGTTCTGACATTTGGGGGATATCTGTACTGTCCTGACATTTGGGGGATATCTGTACTGTTCTGACATTTGGGGGATATCTGTACTGTGCTGACATTTGGGGGATATCTGTACTCTGACATTTGGGGGATATCTGCACTGTCCTGACATTTGGGGGATATCTGTACTGTTCTGACATTTGGGGGATATCTGTACTGTTCTGACATTTGGGGGATATCTGTACTGTGCTGACATTTGGGGGATATCTGTACTGTTCTGACATTTGGGGATATCTGTATTGTTCTGACATTTGGGGGATATCTGTACTGTCCTGACATTTGGGGGATATCTGTACTGTCCTGACATTTGGGGATATCTGTACTGTTCTGACATTTGGGGGATATCTGTACTGTCCTGACATTTGGGGGATATCTGTACTGTCCTGACATTTGGGGGATATCTGTACTGTTCTGACATTTGGGGGATATCTGTAGTCTCCTGACATTTGGGGGATATCTGTACTGTTCTGACATTTGGGGGATATCTGTACTGTCCTGACATTTGGGGGATATCTGTACTGTTCTGACATTTGGGGGATATCTGTACTGTCCTGACATAACGGGGATATCTGTACTGTCCTGACATAACGGGGATATCTATACTGTTCTGACATTCTCGGACCTCAAGAAATTAGATTGGCTGTCAGTACTTCAGGATTGATCAATTTTCAGATCTATACCATAGTTTGTGAACTCTATAACTTTCCTACAAACTAAATAATACATCCTAATTTGGGTTATTTTCACCAAAGACATGTAGCAGAATACATCTCGGCCTAAATTTATGAAGAACAATTATTTATTTGCAAACTTTTATAACAGAAACAAAGCAAACGTGTTTTTTTTTTTTAAACTTTTTGTCTACTTTTTGTTAATTTAGCAAAAAATAAATAATCCCCGTGTTGAATAAATACCACCAAAAGAAAGCTCTAGTTGTGCGAAGAAAATGATAAAATTTTAGTTTGGGTACAATGTTGTATGACCGCGCAATTGTCATTCAAAGTGTGAGAGCGCGAGAACGTGAAAAATGGCCTGGGCAGGAAGGGGGAAAATTGCCCGGTATTGAAATGGTTAATATCAGTTTAAATAGACAAATAATTTTTTTTTTTGGTAAGGCTACTTTCACATCTGAGTATAGCGACCTGTTGCGTTTTGCGATGTGCGCATAGGCGCATTTTAGCACTACAGCCTATTAACTTGAAAGAACTGCCTCTCACATGGTGAACATGGCAAAGAAGCTCATATACCAAATTTTGCCACTGAGCCAAGCTCATTTGGTAATATGCGTTTTAGCACATTTTGTTGTGCGACAAACACACCAAAATCACACTGCTTTTGGAGTGCCATTAGGAAATAATGACATCACAAAGGCACCGTGTATTTTGCTGCACCTCTGAAAATGTGGGCAGAAACACGCAACATCCCATAGCATATCTGCATATTCACTTCACAAGATTCTGAAGCATGTTTTAGCCTCTTGCCATCCATCAGCCAGAGCTTACTTTGGCCATACCTCAAGGAGCCATTTATAACATGGAACAGAAAAGTGAGAAGTCCCACCATAACTAAATAAATTATTCTGTAAATGATCACATCAGTGATAAAGAGAAATATTGAAGCTTCAGAATGGCCCCGTCCAGACCTCTGATCCGTGTGTCCTTCAAATGGCAAAACGTAGATTCCCGATACATTTTTCTGATTGCAGGGAGAGTATAAATGGTCCTCTACATATGTTTTATCGAGTAATTATGCATCGTGGAATAGCCACAGTAAATTACTCTTGTAAGCTATTGTTATTGCATTAAAATAGATGGATTGCCTACTTCCAGGGAGTGGAAAAAAAGGAGAGAGAAAAGGAAAAGGTTTGGTAACTCAATGACTGTGTCATAAATCACTTACGTGTTTTTAAAAAGTCATTTTTCACTGTTAGGCTGTTTGGCTTCTCTCTCTTTTTCTAATATATATATCAATATGTCAAACTATAGACTTCTGCCTCCACTCTTCAAGATTTAAACGTCGTGGATTCATACCTCAAACCATTAGGGTAATGTCAGACCGGTCTTGGTACATGGTGCACTTTTCTTGGCAGAAAGCTGCGTTAGTCCAGCACAGAAATGGATGAAGATTGATTTTCCCCTTTCCGGTGGGTGTAGCGGAGAGGTGCAATTCGCATCCCAGTTTGGAGTCAACTAGTCCCTGCAACTAGACTTGCTCTGCGGAATTTGTTACCTCAACCCTATCCAAATCTACTTTTAATGTTGGCATCCGGAGAGAGCTGCCACATAGTAAGAAACTGTTGGGTGGTACAATAACTTGACATTTTAGTGGGAGATACATATCACCAAAGACTGTTAGACAAGGAGCCATATGAGGCCATTTATAAGGGAGTGTTAAAGCAGACCTATGCTTTAGAGTAGAAATATGGCTTCCAAGTAACCTCCCTGGCGGTATTACCGAGTGTAGCTCGGGGTAAAGTTTCAGTACCACAAGCGGTAACCCCCCCCGAGCTACACTCGGGAATACACTGTAGCGTTGCTCCGGGATCCCTCAATCACTTACCTTGTCCCGCTATGTCCCTCCTGCAGCATCCCCGGCAATGTAATCCGGCGGATGCCGGCATCTGCCATCTGGGTTCTGTTCCCTGCGAGCGTCGGGATGTACGGGGGACGGAAAGGCGGGAAATTTGAAAATGACAAAAAGTGATATTCACTAAAATCACTAAAATCACATAGTAAAACATTGCTGTTTCAAACCATTTCACATACATTTTGTCCCGAGTGCTTTGTCCTGTCTCCTGTCTGCATTTTGACTGTTCTTTCTGCCTGGAAACTGAGAAACGTCCATGGCGTCCAAAAAGCGTCCCTTTAGGTCAGACGCGGTTTTAGACCGGCTAGAGAACAGCGATAGTAAATCAGAACCACTTGCAGAATTGAGTGATAATGATTCGTGGGGGAAATTCCTCATCAGACGCTGAAAATGATTCTGCGACTTTGCTCAGCGATGTGCGAACTTGGCGCTCTATTTCACATTTCAGTGTTTTTGGTTTGATTATATTATTGAATTAAATTTATTATTATATTATTATTTTTTATGATTATTTATTAAATTATAATTTATGATTTCGTGTTTCAAGTTTTATCATACTCGGGATGTTTACTAGACTCTTGTTCGGACAGATTTCAGTGAGTTATTCCTAAAAATTACAGGCCTACAATATAAAACGACAAATTTCCATGCAAAATAATGGTACCGCTTTCAGCACCAAAAATCTGAAATAATCATACCGCCAGGGAGGTTAAAATGTACTGCAGCAACAAATTGTTAAGTTGTTATGGGCAGAGCCATCTTAACGCATGGACATGCCTGGGCCCATTACAATCTTGCATCACATATTCATACTCTGCTGGAACAATCACAGGCATTTTACTAAGCTGTCCCGAGATGCCCTTGTACTGGGCAGCATCCTGGATTCTCAGCCACGGCGACAGCAGCAGCCTGCAGTGGGCTAACTCTACATTCCAGAATGAAATCTTCTTCCCTCTACCTTCCCCATGGCAGTTTCCAGGGCTGTGCATTTATTCAGGGAAATTCTCTGGAGGTGGAGCATTTTACTGCCACTGCCTGTCTAGGCGGGATGTGTACAGTTTAAGATCGACTGGTCCTCCTCTCCTGTCCATCGTATTTGATGTAAGTGTCTGAGATGGAGAGGAGGGCCAGAGCAGATCCCAAAATACTGTGCCATGCCGACCCCCTCTGTACTGTGCACTCTTAATCCCCCTGAAATGTGTCCTGCTGTCCCCCTGTACTTTGCCCTGCTTGAAAGTACTAGTAAATATATATTTCATTCTATCAACTGTTTTATACTTGAATTCTTGAGAGTAGGTGAGCAAATTAGGGCAGGTCGGTAGGGGCCCCAGTGCATTATTTTGCCCAGGGAACCATGAATGTATTAAGATGGCCCTGGTTACAGAGAAGAGGGTGTGGGTTCTGGCATGTTGACGCCACCCCTGCAGTCTGACAGTGAATGATGCCAGGAGGGACTGTGTCCCAAAAATCAATCAATTCACAGAGCAAAGTATGACCGCTGCTGTATTCTGGACACCAAAAGGAACCCTACGGAGGAGACTTGCATTAGGCTCCAGGCTGCCATCCTGGGGAAGAGGTAGGTCCCTTCATGGGACAGCAGAGAGGACAACAGCAAGTATGTAAGGCAGAGTTGGAGGTCTATATGGCCAACCTCCAAAGGAAGGTTGGACTGTTCCCCAACAAAGTAAGAGTTCTTCAGGAGTGAGGGGAGCAGAGTACAAGACACATCTAACAAACAGGTGATTTATGACGTAGTGGTTTCCCTTTTGGGATAAGGGATAGAACTCATAGTGTAACTGGGTGGAGACTGTAGCACTGTAAGTATCCATGCTGGGAAGGACTTTGGTGTCAAAGAGTCTTTTGGAGATAGGATTGAGATGTTACTCTTCAAGAGAGCTATTGAACACCCATCCATGTGAGCACCTGAGCTCTAGACATTATGAAAGAGTGAGGTTTTCTTAAACCACCATATTGGAAATGTCTCCTTAAAAAACAAGATTGCTTCCTGGCAGGATATGTTGAAATAAAGCTGTTAAAATGTAGCTTGTACATGACTGAATCTGTGTCTGTAATGTTCTGGGATAAAGAGAGTTTGTAAACAGAAACTAGGTGCACCATTTTAAATTTTGCTTATACACCAAGCACTGCAAGATCCAGTGTCCATACCATGTCCTCTACAAAAAGGTACAATAATTTGAGTGCTGAGCATGGTATTCACGACTTTGTCTACTGGTGGTTCCAAGTCCAATCCCGAAGTAAGAGTAGTAATAGGTCTTTGTGTGTCTATGGGGGAACCATGAAAACCAACCTATGTATATAAGCTTTCCTGGGGGAATTAAGCTGCCCTTCAGAGCCAGTTCCCATGTTAGGTGTGTTGAGAAGTTTTGGAAATAATCTGTAAAATGTTGGTTTTGGGATTTCAGCCCTTCCTATGTCTGGAACTTTCTAAAAAGCCTTTGTAGAAGTCTCAGGCTTAGATAAACCTGCTGGTGGAGGCTTTACATGTCTGCACTAGGAATAAAATTTGGATTCGCCACTACCAGAGATTTTTGGATTTTGTGATTTGCAAGCCTATGACTAAAAACACTGCAGGTTCACCAGCAGAAATATGGAACAATTTTTAATGCAGTTTCCCACAGTAAGCATGGCTAAATTTAGTAAAATGACCATATGGAAGATGGTTGGTCACATGTACAGTTGCAAGAAAAAGTATGTGAACCCCTTGGGATTACGTGGAGTTTTGCATGAATTGGGCATACAATGTGCTCTGAACGTCATCTAAGTCACAGCAATAGAAGAACACGGTCTGCTAAACATAATACTACACAAACATTAGATGTTGCCATGGTTTAATTGCACATAACATGTAAACATTCACAGTGCAGGGAGGAAAAAGTATGTGAACCTTTGGACTTAACTGGCGGACAGATGGTCATACGTTTTCCTGAAAAATGTCTTGATAAACTCTGGAATTCATTTTCCCATCAATGACAACAATCCGTCCAGCCCTGAGGCAGCAAAGCAGCCGCAATCCATGATGCTCCCTCCACCATGTTTTACAGTGGGGATGAGGTTTTGATGTTGGTGTGCTGTGCCTTTTTTTCTCCACACATAGTGTTGTGTGTTCTTCCCAAACAACTCAATCTTGGTTTCATCTGTCCACAGTATATTTTGCCAGTAGTGCTGTGGAACATCCAGGTGCTCTTTTGCAAACTTCAAACGTGCTGCAATATTCTTTTTGGACAGCAATGGCTTCCTCCGTGGTGTCCTCCCATGTACTCCATTCTTGTTTAATGTTTTCCTTATTGTAGATGTGTCAACAAAAATGTTAGCATGTGCCAGAGATTTCTGTAGGTCTTTAGCTGACACTCTGGGATTCTTCTTTACCTCATGCAGCATTCTGTGCTGTACTCTTGCAGTCATTTTTACAGGACGACCACGCCTAGGGAGAGTAGCAACAGTGCTAAACTTTCTCCATTTGTAGACAGTTTGTCTTACCGTGGACACATGAACATCAAGGCTTTTGGAGATACTTTTGTAACCCTTTCCAGCTTCATGCAAGTCAACAATTCTTGATCGTAGGTCTTCTGAGAGCTCTTTTCTGCGAGGCATGGTTCACATCAGACAGTGCTTCTTGAAACCAGTAAACCCAAAACAGGTGTGTGTTTTTTTAAGGGCAGGACAGCTGTCAGCAACACATCCAATATCATCACACTGATTGGAGTCAAGGTTGGCTCACTCCTGGCTCCAATTAGCTCTGGGAGAAGTCATTAAGCTAGGGCCTCACATACTTTTTCCTCCCTGCACTGTGAATGTTTACTTGTTATGTGTAATTAAACCATGGCAACATCTAATGTTTGTGTAGTATTATATTCAGCAGACTGTGTTCTTCTATTGTTGTGACTTAGATGATGTTCAGAGCACATTTTATGCCCAATTCATGCAAAACTCCACGTAATCCCAAGGGGTTCACATACTTTTTCTTGCAACTGTAGTTGAGGTAGCGGTCAGAGTTCTGCAAATTTGTTGCTTTTTTTGTTAACAGGATATAATAAATTAAATTTTTTAGGACACTTATTGGCTGCTTCATGATGTACCTCTAGAGTCTGACCTTTTGGAGGACCATTTGTGTTTCTCTTTTCTTTTGGGACTTTACTTTAAAAGGACTGTCCGGCTCTGGAGAGGAAAACGTTCAAAGATTTTGGAGGAAACTTTGTATGACCACCCTGGGGTTTTTGCACCACACCTTTCCATCTGTCCACTGTCACCAGTTACACCTCACCAGCCCTCTACATATACTTTCTACTCGAGGTAATTTTCTGCCTACTGTAAACATGCAAATTGATCTGCCTAGAACCTACAGAACTCAGAGCTGGTTATGTTTGCGGCGATTCATTAAATTTTTATTGCATTCTCCCATCAATTGTTTAGTACACAATGGTCTGGGCTCATAAACCACCATGATAATATAATAGTTTATAAGTACAATAGACACGGGGTGAGTTTTTATCTCCATCCAGCAGTGGTGAACTGCTCTGTAACTATCTTGCAATCCTCATATTTATATATAATTTTTTTTTCTCTCTCTCTCTCTCTCAGAGATGAAAATTAAGACAAGGCGACAAATTCCTGCTCTTTCTCCTCACTTCTTCTTCTTGTCTCCCTTCTGCTAAGTGCCAGCTGTCATACCCTGTGGATAATTACCATTTTATACTCCGTGTTTAGGGAAATGCCATCATTTTTTCTGACTCCGGTGCTGTCAGCGCTCATTTTCTTTAGCTCCTGTTAGTTTAAATATCATTTCAGTTCTTCACCTGAGGAGAGGGGTGGAAGCGTAGACCACCCTTCCCACTTATTACCGTCGTGTAGAGATGGCGTTCTCTTTGTCATCCTGACAGCGCTAATGTCTCCTACTCCTCCCACTCAGAAATTCTCTCTTCTGACAATAGCCTCGTTCCGGGTTGTATAAAAAGTATGTTTGTTGTGTCGCAATTTTGTGTGATCGGGAGATAGATTAGCGCCAACATTTTCAGGACTGAAATGATTAACGCTGATTATTTAATTATGAAGCCAATTATACACTTATTAAAGAAGACAGACCAAAGGAGCTTTATGTTCTAAGATTTTTCATGCATCTAAAGTGCAACTCTTATCCTTGGGTGGCCTTATTGGCACCACCCAGTGTCAACAGGGCATACATTTTGGCTGTTCAAATTCTGGCCTTGGGTGGCCCTGTAAAACAACCTAGCTCAACAAAAGTCAATTTTTCAATCAAACACCCAGAGCCAACAGGGCATGGAATTTGATTGCTCAAATTTTGACCTTGGGTGGCCCTGTAAAACAACCTAGCACAACAAAAGTACATTTTTTACTATTCACACAATAGCAAATAAGGCTCTGTATCTTACAGAAGGCAACAAAAGAATTTGTTATTAGTAGAACTAAGAAGGGTTAGAACTTCCAGCAAATTTTCTTGCTTTGTGGAACAACCATGGCTACCGATCGATCATCATATATTGGAAGGGAAATGGCCTTTCACTGCTGTGTGCTCCCCAGATGAAAAGCATCTCCTTCTATAGGAAATAGGAATAAAGAAATATACCTGATGGTGCCACAGAAATTTTATGGCTGATTGAGCATATAAACAGTATACTTGTCCCAGCTCTCTATGCCAGCAGTGGTAGGTATAGCCTTCACCAAGAGAGTCAATGGATATCCATATATACAATATGCTTGTCCCAACTCTCTATGCCAGCAGTGGTAGGTGTGAGCTGCACCAAGAGAATCTATGGATGTCCAGTTATTTTCAACTGGGTGATGCCATTACATGACAAGATAAAGGATCAAGATCACAAGGAAAGCATCTAGCCACTTGGTAATACTACAGGAACATTGACGAATGCCTACTTTCTTATTTCAACCAGAAACCAGCATGATTGATGCATACTAAATCTAAAAAAAGACACTATATTGCCAAAAGTATTGGGACCCCCCCTCCAAATCATTGGATTCAGGTGTTCCAATCACCTCCATGGCCACAGGTGTATAAAATCAATCACCTAGGCATGCAGACTGCTTCTACAAACATTTGTGAAAGAGTGGGTTGCTCTCAGGAGCTCAGTGAATTCACGTGTGGTACTATGATAGGTTGCCACCTGTGCAATAAGTCCAATCGTGAAATTTCCTGGCTACTAAATATTCCACGCTCAACTGTTAGTGGGATTATAACAAAGTGGAAGCAACTGGGAACAACAGCAACTCAGCCACCAAGTGGTAGGCCACGTAAAAGGACAGAGTGGGGTCAGCGAATGCTGAAGCGCACAGTGCGCAGAAGTCGCCAACTGTCTGCAGAGTCAATAGCTAAAGACCTCCAAACTTGGTGTGGCCTTCAGATTAGCACAACAACAGTGTGTAGAGAGCTTCATGGAATGGGTTTCCATGGCCGAGCAGTTTCATCCAAGCCTTACATAACCAAGTGCAATGCAAAGCGTTGGATGCCGTAGTGTAAAGCACGCCACCACTGGACTCTACAGCAGTGGAGATGCATTCTCTGGAGTGGCGAATCACACTTCTCTGTCTGGCAATCCAATGGACGTGTCTGAGTTTGGCAGTTGCCAGGAGAACGGTACTTGCCTGGCTGAATGGTGCCAAGTGTAAAGTTTGGCGGAGGGGGGATTATGGTCTGGGGTTGTTTTTTAGGTTTGGCCCCCTAGTTCCAGTGAAGGGAACTCTTAAGGCATCAGCATACCAAGACATTTTGGACAATTTCATGCGCCCAACTTTTTGGATGGGGATGGCCCCTTCCTGTTCCAACATGACTACACACCAGTGCACAAAGCAAGGTCCATAAAGACATGGATGAGTTAGTTTTGGGTGGAGGAACTTGACTGGCCTGCACAGAATCCTGACCTCAACCCAATAGAACACCTTTGGGATGAATTAGAGTGGAGACTGTGAGCCAGGCCTCCTTCCCCGACATCAGTGCATGACCTCACAAATGCACTTCTGGAAGAATGGTCCAACCTTCCCATAGACACACTCCTAAACCTTGTGGACAGCCTTCCCAGAAGAGTTGAAGCTGTTATAGCTGTAAAGGGTGGGGCCAACTCAATACTGAACCCTACGGACTAAGACTGGGGGGCCATTGAAGTTCATGTGTGTGTATAGGCAGGCACCCCAATACTTTGGCAATATAGTGTATATTAACCCCCTACATGGATGACAGACCTTCAGCCACCCAAAGGACTTAACTCTATACAACGCTTGCCTTTGATATAAACATAATCTGTTTAAAACCAAAGTAAAGATGGCAAGTAAAACAGCTGCCATGTGTGTATTTAAATATTATACATAGCTGATTGACTAGAGTTCACCTTGAAGCTTCAGGTTAAAATTCTAAATTTTTGACTATTTAATCAAGAGAGCTCCTAAGATATACAGTATTTAAAAATGCCAGCATTTGGTTCATTTTGCCATAAACATAACAAAAGTGAATATACCCTGAGAAAAAAAAAAAACTTAACAAAAGAAATTTACCTCTTTTAGAGGAAATTAGCCTTTATGCATGCTTTTAACAAAACTAGCTCCTATATCCAGCCAAATAAAGCAAGCTTGCAAATATGACCCATTTTACCTTTGTTGTCCCTGGAGCTCTGCTGAGAACCACAATTCCATCAGTTTCAATATTATTATTATTATACAGTATTTATAAAGCGCCAATAGTTCGCTCAGCGCTGTACATTACAAAGGGGGACAGAACATGTGACAGAACAATAACAATACAATGCAAAACATGAGGGGATCGAGGGTCCTGCTCCTTGGAGCTTACAATCTAGGAGGGAGGGGATGGTGGCACAGGAGGAGATAGCTGTGGGGGATGGAGTGGTAGGAAGAGTGGAGGAGGTCGGCAGGTTAGCAGGGGTGGGGTAGGCTTCCCTGAAGAGATGGGTTTTCAGGGTGCACCTAAAGGAGAGGAGAGTAGGTGATAATCTGATGGGTTGGGGCAGGGAGTTCCAGAGGATGGGTGACACCCTGGAGAAGTCCTGGAGGTGGGCATGGGAGGAGGAGACCAGGGAACTAGAGAGAAGGAGGTCTTGTGAGAAGCGGAGTGTGCGTGTTGGGTGGTACTTGGATATTAGGTCGGTGATGTAGTTCAGAGCAGTATGGTATTGCTTGATACATGGGAATAGCTGACTATTGATGATTTGAAACACAAACGGTAAAGTACTGAACCATCATTCTAGTCTACTGCAAGGAAGAGGAAGGATTTTTGTGGATGCTTTCTTTAAAATCCTTGTAGAACTGTAGTTTGTCCACCTCTCGAATACACCCCACCCCCACCCCAGGGTACTATTTTGTTCAAAGTACCAGACAATGAAACTTTCAAAGAACCTTTCTGCTATAGAAATGATGATTTGAAGACCTGAAAGCTGCTGGGCAAGCATCAACAGCTATGTGGAGCAACATAACAGTCACCTTTATTCTTTAACCACTTGCCTACCAGGCACTTATACCCCCTTCCTTACCAGGCCAAATTTTCAGCTTTCAGCGCTGCCGCACTTTGATTGACAATTGCGCGGTCATGCAACATTGTACCCATATGAAATTTTGATCATTTTTTTCTCACAAATAGAGCTTTCTTTTGGTGGTATTTAATTGCCACTGGGCGCTTTACTTTTTGCGCTATAAATAAAAAAATTGCAAAAAATTTGAAAAAAAAAAATTTTTTTCTTTGTTTCTATTATAAAATTTTTCAAACAGGTATTTTTTCTCCTTCACTGATGTGCGTTGATGAGGCAGCACTGATGGGCACTGATAGGCGGCACTGATGGGCACTGATAGGCAGCACTAAAGGGCACTGATAGGCAGTACTAATGAGGTGGCACGGATAGGCGGCACTGATAGACAGCACTAATGAGGTGGCACGGATAGGCGGCACTGATAGGCAGTACTAATGAGGTGTCACGGATAGGCGGCACTAATATGCAGCACTGATAGGCGGCACTGATAGGTGACACTGATGATGGGTACTGAGAGACTGCACTGACTGGCATCACTGCTGGGCACTGACTGGCGGCACTGACTGGCACAACCCCTGGGCACTGACTGGTGGCACTGACTGGCAGCACTGCTGGGCTGCCCTGGTGGGTGGCACTGGTGGGTGGGCACAGGTGGGTGGGCACAGGTGGGTGGCACAGGTGGGCACAGGTGGGTGGGCACAGGTGGGTGGCACTTCTGGGCACAGGTAGGTGGCACTTCTGGGCACAGGTGTGTGACACTGCAGAGTGGCACAGGTGGGTGCACTGCTGGGCACAGGTGGGTGATCTGCTGGGCACAGGTGGGTGCACTGCTGGGCACAGGTGGGTGATCTGCTGGGCGGAGCTAGTGGGCGCACTGCTGGGCACAGGTGGGCGGAACTTGCGGGTGGCACTGCTGGGCACCGATCATCAGGGCACTGATCATCAGTGTCCTGATGATCTGTGCCGATCCCCGCTGTGACAACTGCCGGTTCTCGGCAGTACTTTCCTCACGATCTGACAGCGTGAGGAAAGTGCAGCCGAGAACCGGCACTTGCATTTCCCTGTGATCAGCGTGTCATTGGACACCGCTGATCACGTAGTAAAAGGCCGCTGGGATCGGCCTTTTACCACATCACGTGATCAGCTGTGTCCGTAGGACACAGCGATCACGGAGATTGCCGGGTGCGCGCCCCCTGGGGCGCGCAGGAGAGCGTGTTCTGGGGGGACGTCATATGACGTCCACCCAGAACTGGCCGGCCGCATCTGCGGTCGGCAACTAGTTAAATAATTCCAATAGTTCTTTGTTGTAAACTTCCAGAAAAGAACATTCCAAGGGGAACTCTTTATTAAAAAAAAAAATATGACAGACACAAATGCTTTGCCATGCCGTTTTCTGTGCCACCTTAATTACCTCGTAAACATAAAGATAACTACAGACTATCAAGATGGCCGCAGACAGGAACAAATGCGACTCTTGGCTAAGAGCACCTCTCCTGCTGCGCGTGACAATGCCATCGTTATCTCGCTCCGAGCATAGACCGCCTAGCCCCAGCTCAGGCACAACAGACATGCAAATAAAATTTACCGGTCCAAATTCAAATGCATTTACATGGTCTGTCAATGAGGATTTCTGTTTGACATGGAGATTTGTTGTGCGCGGTGTGTAACATCTGCTCTCTGGGAGGGTATTATAAGGAGCGGGGGCTCACCTGGGGCGTCAGAACTGGGAGGCTGCCAAAACATGCGGAGCTGTAAATTCATTAAGTAAAAACAGGGACAGGAACAAGGCAGAAAATCGTTATCTAAGTGTCATAAAAGAACCCTCTGAAATCTTTTTTTGTTTTTTTTAAATATCTCCAAAGGGTAAACAAAGTTTTCAATTTTCCGCTGTATGGTTTTGTTTTCCATTCATCGATCAAGAATGCCAACAGTTCAAAACATATGGTCATTTTACAATGGCTGTGTTAGATCATCCGGACGGACCTAATAGAGCCATTTTGGATTGTTTTGTGACATGGCAGGGTCCAAGATAAGAGTTACATACCTATTTTGGCCACCCACTAATTCTGGTAAAGAAAATTCCAAGCTTGTTGGGTAGGTGCAGCATGGCGTGGCGGACAGTAAGCACAAGATTTACCAACAATGATGTATTGATATAGTACAACAGCACAAACAGGCCTGAAGGGGAAGCTCACCTCTCTGGGCCACTTACAAAACTTTAGTGCAGAGATAGCGGTGTGTAGACTCAGGGTTGTTGGCAGTGTCTGCCAGGAGGAGTGGAGTGTGGCCTGGCCTGGCCGGTCCAACCCAATGAGGAGGCTTACTGAGAAGGTAGATGTGATCCATGCTTTTTCTCTTCTCCACCGGAACCTTTCTGTAAAGCTAATGCTGTCCCAGTCAGACAGGTAACCTGTCCCTACACTAGCAACTCACATAAAAAGATGGAATGCTGCACTTTTAGTGTATGAAGCCCCATATATCTTGTAATTTGCATAAATATACCATATAATAACACTATGGGCAAACTGGTCAGAAGTTAAAGCGGAGTTCCCCCTAAAAGGGTAAGTTCTGCTTTAAGAACTGTTCGCCCGCTCCCAGTGAGAAACTGGCACCTTTGGGGAGTCAGTACCCAATTTTGACAGGTACCTGCTCTAACTTCTGCTCTGAGCACCTAGGCAATCACAAGAGGAAGTTGTCCCCCCCCCCTCCGTAGTCTTTTTGGACACATGACAGGTCCCAGGACAGGACCATTCACATGGCATAGAGCTACTCGCGCATGCGCAGTGTGTAGACTCAGGGTTGTTGGCAGTGTCTGCCAGGAGGAGTGGAGTGTGGCTTGGCCTGGCCAGTCCAACCCAAAGAGGAGGCTTACTGAGAAGGTAGATGTGATCCATGCTTTTTCCCTTCTTCACTGGAACCTTTCT